ATGCCATGAAATTCGCTGCGTCCAGCGATACACTTCGTCTTTTAACCAACAAAGCACTACCTCTTCTTGCCTTTGCTTCCTTTGAGGTCCTCTGGCCTTGTTCCTTTAAAGAAGGTACTTCTTTGTCCCCTTCTGTAATTTTATCCCCATTCTCATCAAAGAAGATCACGCGGCTACTTGGATGTGTTCGTACTGAACCCTTTTCAACTCCATCGTGTGGATACGAAAGTTTCAAATACGGCACAACTGAAAGACTTCTTCCATCAGCCAGCTGTTTTGTTTCCATTAGAAATAGATTGAAACCTAGCCGACTATTCACTTCGTAAGTAAAAGTGGCAAGTACCTATGTGGTACTAGTTGATGTCGGTTTCATGTTTATTAAAAGCGATTCATTAACGTTCGCGTTCATTCTTTTTTGTCGAGCTTCAAATAGGCACGTTGATTCTCAGCCTGTTCCATCTGAAACGTTTTTAGTCGCGTTAAAACAAAGCTCGCCAGACATTCAAAAGAAAGATTCGGACATAAAAACGTTGAAATAAGATGTCGAAAATCACAATGCTTTGGGAGAAACCTTTTGGTCACTGCTGTACGTGACCCTCAATATGTAGTTTCCTTTAAATTTCAAGTCAACATTACCTCTGAATGGCTTCCTGTATATCTCATGCATGAAACGCACTAACCTGTGTTAGATTGGAACACTTCTTTTGGTGGAGTTTGCATAAGCGAAATTGGAAATATTCTCGCATGAACTGGAATCGTTGTATTGTTTTAAAAATGTCGCTCAAGATTTGCATGCCAACAACCAAACAAAAAGCCGGTCGCTAGAGGGATTTTGGCAAAATCCCTCTAGCGACCGGCTTTCTGTTTGGTCACAAAAGTGGACTTTTGCATATCGACTTAATTGATACCCAAGAGATTTGTTGTTCTCGAAAGAAGCAAAGTTACCAATAAAAGCGCATTTTAGCGTTCTTTCAGAGGTGCTGTTGTGTATTGCGTTATATAGCGTTACCACTGTAAAGGCACGTTGTATTACTTAATCGTGTTGTAAATCTACCCTCATAAGTAAAAGTAAAATAACTAATTACGAGTATTGTATGGCAAATATATTGATCATTGAGTAAATGACAGTTGCATTTGAGTCAGAATGAGAGAAGTCACTTGACTTATGAATACTCTACAGGTGACAACCTTCCAAAAGGTTATTTTTAAGTTAAAACGAGCGCTGCTATTCTTGTTTGCGATCTTTATTTTATGCTGATATCCTTAGCATACTTACCAAATGATGCTCTATGAAACAAATTCACTTCCAGAAATCTTACATTTCCACTTGCAAGAACCAGTGATACTGTCACTCGGTACTGCAAACTTCCAAACTTCTTAGCAACATTGTGTTTGTACAGTACAGTCAGTATTCCAATCTGTTTGAGGCTTTCGTCTTCTTTGAAGTGAATGAGCCACACAGCAATCTAGAATAAATACAGAAGATTTCACCAGGAATGGGAAAGACGAAATCAAACTGATCTCAATGCTGTACGATGCTCTGGCAACAAAGAAAAGCCACCAGAACTATCTGAACTTATCATAATTCTGGAGTAAATTTTTCAACAGACCTAAAGAATAAACTGTCCATGTTATTATTAAAAATACGCTTGTTTCGATTAAAGTGGAAAGTTCAGTGGTAGTTGTTGACTAGTAAATTACTCATCTGTAATGTCAATTTTTCAAGTTTTTTAGGAAAAATTTTGTAGTGTGTGATAATAATTTTTGACATACCAAAATGCAAAAAATTGAAGTGATTAGCAATATTATAGATGTAATAAGTCTTTAGATAAGTTGTTACAGTCAATTTTCTTTTATTTTGGTTATACAGTAAATCAGGATAGTAAATTTTGCTGTCTGTGCGTTATCAAGCAAGCACTGGGTTCTCAGTGTTGGTATTTTACACCCTATCCTACCCTACAATGTCCCCATTGTAATTGTGCATTATGTCAGCTTGTTAATGAAGAACGAATGGATATCTCCTAATTCACATCACATTTGTACAAAAGTAAAGCACAAGACATCGCATGGTCTCGCGTGTCCAAGATTACCACGATATCTGGATGTTTTTAAATGCTTTATGCGAAGTCTTTAAACGTCAAGATGACATTCCTAAACGCCACCATGGGGATCCTACAGGTCGCGAAGATTACGAGTGGTTCTGTGAAGAAGTAATTCACGAAACCGTTTTGGATAAACTACAACATTATGCGTCACCCGTGGAAGCTCATAGGCAAATGTATATATTTACACACTGGTTTGATCTGGTCCGTTCAGTAAAGAGGATCCAAGAATATAATGAGGGCATGAGTTTGAGGATGTCATGAAAGCCTACGACAGTTGGAAAAATTGTGAGGAAAGCGTGCCTCAATTGGTGGGTGAGATTAAAGCCATGACAACCGTCAAACATTCATCACGTTGGTATGAGATTCAAGGTAAAAACAGGAGAGAGAATTTCTATGGTCACAAATCTAAGTGACCATCTTGGATGCACATGTCTAAAAGGGGCAAGAAAACACGACGCCGTCCCATGAGAAACCTGTTTAGTGTGTTAAAAGTGTTTATAGAAGATGGCAGGATCTTCGCATGGGAAAAAAGTGCGTCGCCTTAAGCGCAAGATTCGTCAGCAAGCATCGAAACATGCACAAGATGTGGAAAGGTATCAGAAAGAAATTCAGGGGTTGAAATTACGGGAGAGACATCATGACATTATATTCCGCGATGCCTTGCGACACATTTACTACCCCTATGGAAACGAACGATGTATTTACTATACTAACTGGGATAAAGAAATAGCAGACGGCTTTTTTTCTGCATTTCACGAGTTATGCGGGTATCAGCGGCCATCCCGAGGAATCGACCCCCGGGTACCCAGGGGCATTTGTCACAGCTGCCGTGACAAATACATGCTAAAGCCCCTCGGGTAGGGCAAAAAATTGGGACAAATACCCCCACCCCTCGAGCAACCTGGGCAACATATAGTCGGTGTTGCCTGTTCCTCGATGCAAAAGTACGAGTGATCATGGTTTACTGAAGCCACATCAGCACTAAAATCCACACAAGTCTCTATGGAGTCCTCAAATTCGAGCTTTCTGGGGCAAACTTTCTTGGCTTGCGGTTTCACATCGGCAAGACGCTTCGAATGCGAACTAACCGTATGAAATTGAAATCTCGATGTCGCTTTCCTTAAAATGCAATGAACAGATTCTTGGATTGCCGAGTGTCTTGAATTTTTTATCCGCTCGCTTACAGAAAACCTCCCACTTCTTACGCTCATTGGGCCTTGTAGGAAAGCAAAAATAACTGAGATCAGGTCGTTTCGCTGAACGTTGAGACAGCAGATTACGTGCAAATCCCGTGGGTATGGCCCAGGGGTATTTTGCCAAAAACGAAAAAGCGCTCTAATGCCCCGCGTATGGAAACGAACGATGTATTTAGATCTAGTAAGACTGTAAAAACTGTAAAGTTTATTGTTATACAAATGGATACAATAAAAATGAAAAATGTTATGACTGATTCTGTTGGGAATGGTAGCTAACCATGTACAATTCTCTAGATGTGGTGGTACCTCTTGATAGGGGACAAAATTGAAACAATTAATGTTCATGACATTATAAACGTAATTGACATTCATAAAAAAATCAAAATGGTTTAAAAGGACCAAAATTTCATTCTCGGGATCTTGAATTTGTAGTAATCCATAAAGGGATACTTATTCTGAAAAAGTTGAAAAAAATCTAGCGTCACAAAAAGGATGATTGAGGAATACAATCAAGAAAAAATGTATGACCTTATGAGTTTCTCTGTGGTAATTGGTGGTTAACCATATATAATCCCCTTACATAGGTGGCGCTACATCTTCTTCATCATACTCGACGAAACCAAAACTTATTAAGGGTATAATATTATAAATATTGGTGACAATCATAAAAAACCTAAACTGATTAAAAAGGACACAGATTTCATCTTGGATATCATACCACCATAATAATGATTTAAATGTTTAAAAAAAATCCACAATGTCCTCCAATGGAAATTCAGTCTAAAAATAAATTGTATAAAAATTAATTTCATGGTCATTGCTTGACCACATAATGGCTAACCATTCATATGGGTATAACTCTCCTTGCATATCATGAAAACAATCTAAAAATTGTCTTCTGTTATATAGTGAAACTACACGATTCAAAAAATCTACATCTTGAAATTGTATAGCTATATTGATACCGTCTACCCTTAAAACCATTTTTAAATTACTAAAGAACAAATAGATGGCATCTCTGTCTGCATAGTTTTGATGTATCTAAGAAAGAGAAAAACACCATATAAATGAATATGAAAAAGCTGGCCAAAAAAGTAGGTTCGAAGGTGGTAGCTATAAAACAGAAAATAAACGAACTGGCATAAATAAATTGCTATGACAATACACTTGGTCTAAGCGCCTTGTTTTCAAGACACCTGCGTTTATTCCTAATCTGTGTCTAATGATTCTGTTTTCTGAGAGAACATCAAAAAGAAATTGATAAAGTGTCAGGAGATTGATCATGGGCTTGAAAAAAACTCGTTTGAAATTCCCTACAAAAAGATATTTGAATTACATAATATTCCATTCTACATCTTCTAATGATTAAAGCTTGAGAAAGACTTAAGATTGAATCTTGAAAATAACCTCTATCTGTCATATAGAGTGCACATAAAGTAGACATATAATTATGGGAACTGATCTGAAAACATAAAAAAGATCCCTAATTAAAAAAATCTAAATATAAAAAAACACACATTCTAAGGACCAAACATAATCATGAGGGATTAATTCCTCTGGTCTTGTGTAAGGGAAAAAAAATTAAATGACACACTCCCGCAGGAAAGAACAAAATTAAGAAATTGATAAAACTACGATACACTACATTACACAAAATACCATGAGTTGGAAAAGAATGGTAAGGAGACAGACATAATCTGCGAAAATTAGGTGGTAAATACGATACGACCATTCTCATAAATCTTAAAAGTTGACAACAAAGTAATGTTAACAAATCCTCAAAATCAGGAATTGTAACTTGAAAATCCCAATGTACATCAGATTGTTGTCTCCAAATCTAAAAATTAAAAAACAAAGCAAGGCCAGGTTACTGGGTACCAGACTCTCAAATTTTAGCCTGTAACTGTCGCAAAGCTGAATTCAAGGGAAGTGATACCAAACACTACTGCCAAGCCAGTGGTATGGGTGTCTATAGCAACTGTTCAGGAAGTAGGAGACCCGTGGCTTCAAGAGGTTGGGATCACCCGGTCTGAGTCTGTGACCAGTGTCCTGCTAAAAAAGGACAGCTTTAGGGTCAATGTGTATGTTATTCAGTGAGAAGTGGGCCATAAGAAACTCTTAGCTTATTGGCCCTTCATGATCAAGTTTTAAAACAGCAACCTCACAAGTTTACATGAAAATTACTACTTCATGGCCTTGCATGGAGATAGAGAGCATCATGAATGGCTGTGAAATAAAGTCTGATAAGTCTATTGCACACTATGCATGAGGTCTTTTAAACCAAAGCTGAAGTCATTTGAAGGCTTTCCACTCAAGAGACATAAAAACCAACACTAAGGCTATCACAGGGGCTTGTCATACCAAAAGATAATAACACAGAGGCAATGGAATCTGAAATTGAAAACATGCAGACTGTCTGATATGCAGGAAAATGCTACCCACCAAGTCTTAATTGGTTTTAGGCTATGGCATTTAATTGATTGAGAGGGTGTAGAGTTTTCTAGACCATTCATTAAGTGAAGTAAAGCAAAACCAGTGCAATTGTGGTTTAATTTGGACACTCAATTGCTCTCTTAAGAGAGACAAAATGAGTAATTTCTCCTCACAAAAACAATACATCTATAAGCCAAAAGGTAATGAGAGTAAAGAAAATGATCAACCTCATGATAAAGAGAAAATTGATTTACTACCACCTTCTCAAAATTCACATTGAAAGAACTGTATAACAAATGGTAAGGAGAGTTTACACCGTGATTGATCCAGGGGGTGAAAGGGTTTCTCGATGTTAGTTTGGTACATAGGACCTAGTAGGTACTTTGGACCTTTTGAAATTGCTAATCCTGAAAGTGGGAAAAGGCTATCTGCTAATTTAAGTGTACCATAGTTATAATTATACTTTAAAGAAAATAATAATGCAACAGGTGTGTGAGATATAATAAGTCAAAATAAATAAATCAAAGATTTCTCCCCTTGTAAAAAGGTTAAGTACAGTTTGTTTTCCCTGTTGTATTAAGCATTTTTTCCAAGTATACCAGTATTATCATATTTTTATTTCTAATAAGCAGTTTTCCTGTGTTAAGATCTAATTTTTTTAGATAAAATTTATGATAACACATTTTTCAGGCTGTTCTGTGATAAACTTTCTTTAGGATTTTTCTCTAGTTTCCAGGCTTTTTCCATTTATATGTATTAAACAACCCACAAAAACAGTAATTTAGCCCATTAGATTTGCCCATTTGTCCATTTGTGTAACATCTTCCTTGGAATTCAGCTGGTTTGATTTTGTATGCCAAAAGGTGGGGCTGAAATGAGTCCAAATTTGTAAACAATTGAAAATGTTGAGTTTATACACAGTTATGACTGCTCTCAGGAAAAAACCCTGCTGAAAAATTGAAATCATGTGAAAAGTAGCATCAGTGCATAAGTCATAGGGCTGTTCCTGCCAGAGCTTATCCAGATTTTATTGGCTTAGATCAACAAAGATTTTTCCCCAAACTTGCCTCTGACCCCTATTGGGTGGGATGCTAATCTATTGCAGGGTAACTTTTTACACTTAAAATCAGTATTCATATTCTCCATACTGTTCTCCATATGTTTTCTAGGGTGCTGACAAGGAGAATTTGTTTAACTATTGAGAGCTTCAGGTGGTGATCATTTCCTATGATTTGGGTGGTCTTGAGAAGTTAGATGCCAGTCATTCTTAGGGATTAAAGGGTTACGCCTTGCCTGCCATACACAATGGTATACTTTCTAATTAAAGGGAGTGATGCTAAAAGCCAAAACAAAAGAAATTACAATGGCCAGTCAGAACAGAAAAAAATTGCATTGAGGCAAAGAGAGTCCAAAGCTTAAACAAGCAAACTTCTGAGGGGGGGGGGGGGGGCTGAAATAGGTGATTACTCACTAGTTGGGAAGGAATTTAGTTTTGCATGTGATTGGTTTAGAGAGCAATGCAAGTTCTTTAGCAAAAAAATGTAATCCTAAAAAACTACTTGCGATTACCATTCAGCTTAAAATTGCTCTGGATTTCATACTCACAGTGTCACTGTCAGTGATTTTTATAACTCTCTTAAATCAAAGTCAAACTCCAGGTAACTTGAGCAATAAACAAGAGTAATTATAAAGCACCAGTGAATCATCTTCATCAATAGCTTTACAAGGATCACCACAAGCTGTTCTGTAAGAGTCCATGAACTTTAGTGCTTCATCCTCTCTATGCAACTCCTCCAAACAAGCTACCAAGACATAATATGCAAATATCAGGGCTGGAGCTTCAATAGTGTCATTTTGCTGAATATGGTGACCGAGGTTACCATCCAATGTAATCTCCTCACTTTGACCATAACCAAGGTATTTCAACACTTTAGAGGTCTTACTACAAGTTATACCTTGCTTTGCAGCCTCTATAGCTTCATCAAAACGATCATTTCTGTATAAAAACATGCTAAGCTCTACGTAGTGAGAAGCATTGGTTGGCTGCAACTCCACTGATTTTTTCAGCATCATCTCGGCATGGTTTAGAAGCTCTCCATTAGGTTCAGTAACATCATCTTCATATGCTTGTACATGGTAGAAACATCCAGCATTGTGGAATAGACTGGCAGGAAGATCAATACCGTTGGTGGCCTTTGTCAGTGTTGCAATTACCTCTTGATCTGAAAATCCCAGGCTCCTCATGGAAATCAAGCGGCAGGCAGCTGCTTCTGCATCACCATCACCATGGCGTCTTTGGCATTGTACTATTGAATCACACAGTAATTCATAGGCATTTGTTTGCTTTCCAGTCCCTTTCAAAATTTGAACAACACACTCAATGTACTCTATCCCTTTCTGCGCTGTTTTGGGATTTTCCATCAACATTAAGCCAAGATTGTAGAGGTGGTATTTAAGAAAATCATTCAAAACATTCTTATCTGGGGAGCTGTGGAATTCCTTTAAAAGTGCAATGAGAGTGCTGTATCCATACTTCTTGGGTGCCTGACTATAAATTGACTCAATGCATTTTGTAAGTTTAGGGGAGTTTGCTAGAGCTAAGACAGGCTTCTGCATGATTTGTGTCAACTCCTTGGAAATGATTGCACAAGATTCTTTGGAAATTTCTTGAAGATGATTTCTCTGTATGACAAAGTAATTGGGCAACATGTAACTCTGTAGACATTTTGTAAGCCTTTCAATTACTCCGAGCACACAGTGGCCAAGGTTTGAATTGTTCCAGATGTCTGGGTCTGCCTCCTCTAAGAACCAGAAGAAGGCACATTTAACCCAGTAGGAAGGTATACCTTCACAATGGAGATCTTTCACGAGACCTTTTACAACCAGATAGCATTTCCTCTGCACTGAATTCAGATTCTGTGCCAGAACTGTTTCAGCAAAAGAAAATGACAACCTCCATTCCAGATGGGAAGCGCTGCTGTCTCCAGACCCTTTTGCGACCACGGCATAACCTTGATGGAGAATCATCTGCACGACTTCTGGTTGTGGCCAGTTCCGTTTTCTTTTCGCCCATTCATCAGCAACAGAAGGCCAATTAGGACAACGGAAAGCAAAGACAAGATCCATACTATCCATGCGGATGCCGGATTCCTGAATCAAATGCTCTGTGACTAACAAGGAAGGTCCAGCTGCTTTTGCAACTTCTTGAACTTGGTTCAAGTTCTTCCGAAATACGTCGCAAAATTTAGAGCTTGATACGTAAACACAGTCCCCTTCACTTTCTAAAACGTCATCGGGTAAACTCCACCGGCAAGCAGTATTAACACGGAGTTTTACATACCTTGGTTCTTTTGCATTCTCAATAAAAGCAACAACATCGCTAATTGATTCATCTGCACTGTTTTCTTCCTCATCAGACTCAGTAATTTCCTTGATTATAGCTAGTTGTGGCAGGAACATCACATCAAGATCTGTTCCATATCGATATCGAACGCTACTTCCTTCGTTTTCCTCGGCCACTTCCAGCCTTAGTAAATACAGTCTTTCCGCTAAACTTCCACTGCGCTCAATAATAAAATTGGTTTCCCAAGGAAGTATTTTTCGAAGAGCATCCACAATTGATTCAAATTCAAACCGTCCAAACTTTGGACTATGCCAATCTGAGAAAGTTACCAGGTGGCATAGAAGGCCGAAATGATCGGGTTCGAATTTAGTCGCCATTGATCACCGTCTTTGACTCAGGATAACTTTGAAAGTCTTCTCACCCATGTTGAAAGGTTGTTACAAATTCTCAAAGTCTTCTCACGTCATTTAAGCTACCTCTTGCCCCCTTCATGTAGCCATGTCCACTGAAGTAATGTGATACAGTGGCCAATCATATCTTGCAATCTATCGAGCTACAAGCGGCTTGGGACTGGTTAAAGACGCTGTTGTGGTAGCTATCTTTAAAATAATGAACGGGAGAACGGGAGAACGGGAGAACGGGAGAACGGGAGAACGGGAGAACGGGAGAACGGGAGAACGGGGGAACGGGGGAACGGGAGAACGGGAGAACGAACGGGGGGGAGAACGGGAACGGGGGAACGGGGGAACGGGGGAACGGGGGAACGGGGGAACGGGGGAACGGGGGAACGGGGGAACGGGGGAACGGGAGAACGGGGGAACGGGGAACGAACGGGGGAACGGGAGGGGAACGGGGGAACGGGAGAACGGGGAGAACGGGAGAACGGAGAACGAGATGGAGAACGAGAACGGAGAAAGAGGAGGAACGGAGGAAAGGAGGAAAGGAGGAATGGGGAACGGAAGAATGGGGGAACGGAAGAATAGGGGAACGGAAGAATGGGGGAACGGAAGAATGGGGAACGGAAGAATGGGAGAATGGGGGAATGGAGTAATGTGGGAATGGGGGAATGGGGGAATGGGAGAATGGGGGAATGGGGGAATGGGAGAATGGGAGAATGGAGGAATGGAGGAATGGAGGAATGGAGGAATGGAGGAATGGAGGAATGGAGGAATGGAGGAATGGAGGAATGGAGGAATGGAGGAATGGAGGAATGGAGGAATGGAGGAATGGAGGAATGGAGGAATGGAGGAATGGAGGAATGGGGGAATGGGGGAATGGGGGAATGGGGGAATGGGGGAATGGGGGAATGGGGGAATGGGGGAATGGGGGAATGGGGGAATGGAGGAATGGGGGAACGGAGGAATGGGGGAATGGAGGAATGGGAGAATGGGGGAATGGGAGAATGGGAGAATGGGAGAATGGGAGAATGGGGGAATGGGAGAATGGGAGAATGGGGGAATGGGGAGTGGGAGAATGGGGGAATGGGGAGTGGGAGAATGGGGGAGTAGGAGAATGGGAGAATGGGGGAATGGGAGAATGGGAGAATGGGGGAATGGGGGATTGGGGGAATGGGGGATTGGGGGAATGGGAAAATGGAGGAATGGGGAATCGTTAAAAGCGGGAATCTTTAAAACGGGGAATCTTTAAAAGCGGGGGGCTTTAAACAAGGAATCTTTAAAAGCGGGAATCTTTAAAAAAACGTAACAATTTATCTTTGGCGGACAGTAGTGGCACTCGATTATAATTCTTTTATTGGCCTTATTGGATACTTTAATCTACATCGTTTTCCGGTATGATCTTCAGGCTTCAAAATAATAGCGGCTGCCGGCGGCAGCTGGAACTTTCAGCACACTTGCCGTTAATTTTTCACCAAAGAAATAGAATTTTATAGACAATATTATACTTATTAATCGTCCAACTGAAGTTAAAGTCGCTGTCATGTTATGACGAACATTTCGTATCAGACAATAGAGTAACCAAGAAATGTTTTAAAAGCTTTTTGGAAACGTACACGAGTACAAAGTTTCGAAATTTGAAGCGTGCTACAGGGAGTATTTTTGTTTAGAGCATTCAGCTTTCTACGTATTCGTTCAAGCGTGAAACATGCAAGTTTGTGTAGACACCGTCACATTACCGTGTTTATGTTTCTGCACGTACATACTACCCTTAATTAAGATTTATTTTCCGCCGAATCCTGTTTAATGTCGTTTGTATAGCCCTCTCACGCGTTCAAATTAAAGTCGGTGCTTGACAGTACGGATTTTCTATGACTGTTAATGAAGAAGCGCGACAGTTTGTTTAGACAAAGTTGTATATTTCGCACTTGAACAAACAGCGAAAAATTGAGCTGTTCACCACGCTATGTTATTAGAAAGGGAATTGCCGCAACGAAACATGTTGATCAAAATAAAGATTCTAATGCTGAAATTATTACTGGGATACCTGTGGTAGCCCAATCATAAAATGCCTTTGTTTTTTTGTCGTCTTTTTTTTTCCACCGCCAAGAAATGGAAAAATTGCGCAATGGTACCCAGTGGTCATTGGGCCCTCAGCACCATGACAACTAATTGTGATCCAATGAGGTGTTCACATGCTGATCACGCGTGTTATCTTGATGATGATTGACGTTGTCATGCACGGACAGGGCCGGGTCACATGACGAACCACGAGATTTTTGCTTATAAAACTCTTTGGTCAGTTATTTTGTATTTTAACGTGATTGGATTACAATCACCTGGAGCATTATGGCGCTAACGCTCAAAATGCTTACAGACAGTCTTACACAAGTCTTATTGTTCGTGGCCAATCCACACTAAAAGATGTTATTGAGCGGTAATTTTGGAACGGATTGAGTCGCCAACGCTTGAAAGCCATGAAAGATTTGAATGCCTTGTATGCCTTGTATGCCTTGTCATGTATGCCAAATATGCCAATGTCTTAGTTGAAAAACGTACACTTGTTGTAAAAAGCAAAATCTGAAATCTGAAACCAAACTTCATATACTCTATGCAATCTATTGAACAACACTACTACCATGAGACTGAAGAACAAAACTCTAATAAATGCAAACTGCTCGTGAAGAAAGACGCCATGTTGGATTCACTTGATGCCAGGGAACGTAGCTACGATAACAGTGCGAATGGTATTAATTTCACGATCAGAAAGGTGAATCTTATGTTTCTTTTCATTGTAGTTGTATGGATATTTTTTTTTTAAATAAATACATGATCCAAAATCCTGTGTTTTTTGTGTATAATGTTATTATACACCCGTTATTGTGGTTGTCTTTGAGCAAAAGTACTTATCAAAGCGGGTCAGGATAAGTGGAAAATTTGACCTGTATTTTCCCGTATCGGCTAGATTGTTTTTAGCATGGGCTAATTGTGCATCAAACTCCGTTGTTCCATCCATATTTTAAAATTTATTGACTGCCGGGTGGAACGGTATGACAAATGGCAATAAACTTTCGTGACCTTTTGGCGTTTGTGTTTGTGCAAGAGCTGACTGTCTGGAGGCAAAGTTGACCCCCTACAATGACCTTCCTGTTGTGTTTTCTGGGTACCCTCCTGCTTTGGGGCGTTGTTTGAATTTCAAAAGCCTCTCATCAAATGTCTCCTACGAAGAATTAGTTCCAAACAATCTTATTGCTTCACCTTTGATGAAACCATATTTTACGCCTGGTGGAGGGGCAAGAGGCGAAGTGCGTAAATTGGAAGGTCTCGGTCGGCTTGTATTGGGTTTTGATGCCCCAGATGGAATCTTGGACAAACCTCCGATCATCTTTCACAAAAAGGGAAAATCCCTTCAAGACGCAACAAAAGCCACGTAGGGAGTCCGTGCCGTTCTGTCTTCACCATCATTCTCATATTTAACAAAAATAGTGGCATGAACTGTAACTAATACCTTACCTAATGTATTATACTAGCTCCGAAAGAAAAGCACAACTTCGATCACCTGCGCACTCTAAACGCTTGATGAAAACCAACAGGGAAAGCCACGATTCAATGTCAAATTTTCGGCTTCCTATTAAGCTCTCAAACGTATCGAAAAAAAATTCGCGAATACTTCGCACTTAAAAACGAAAAACACTACCAGACTCTTATTCTTTCACCAATCCGAAGCATCCCAAAACGCATCAAAGATAGCCTGTGAAATTCCAAAACTTCGAGCGAGGAAAAATACTCTTTTGCAATGCTCCCCTCCCCTGGTTGGAAGAAACTCGCAGAAGTCATAATCACAAAGCACTTTGATTGGAAGAAATAAAACCGCATTTCGATTGGTTACTGGGTGTGAGGACATAACGGGAGTCACAATTACAACGCTACAAATGCAAACGGTGACACGGCGAGGAGAATTGCAACCTAGTTCCAAGGCCCTCTAAGGTAGCCACCTTTTGTCCCACTTTGTTTAAATATTATTTTTAGTTTCTTTGGGAATCGAGCGGCATGAGGCGTTCCCGAGTCAATGAGAGTTTCTAAGTTCTTTGTTTTGGCTAAGAGGAGTTTTGACATGACACCTGAATCACGATATAGAAGTCTAACGCTCGTGTATTGTTGTCATTTAATAATACTTTAGACTGACTTTCATGTGCGCAGTCATGGTCACAGTGATAACGTAGTGTAACGGATCAAGTTGAGAAAATTATGAGAGAGGAGGGAGGGGGGAGGGGGGTCATGGACTGTCTGGAGGCACATTTAGGAGAAGGTGGGAAATAGAGGAGAAAGAGACTTTACTCTGCTCGTTAGACTTGACTTGGCAACTGTTCATAGCCATTTCATATTCATTTCTTAAACCGCAGTTCACATATATGATTTTCATTTATTCACAGTCAATAGTTGCGGTTACACGGGGCACTTTTATCGTGGTAAATTGTCCTTTTACCTCGGGAAATTGTATTTAGAAGCCTGTCCGACGTTTCCCGAGGTAAATTTCTTCTGTTAAATATCCATGGATACGTCAAAAAGATCACACGAAGCGCCCACGACATTTAGCGTGGTAAGTTGCAATGGTGTTTTGATGTCCGAGGTACAAGAGCCAATCACGATGCTCCGTTTGACAGCAACACGTTTCTTCGCAGCTTTCATTCGCGCCAAATGACAAACTCGTTTGCGCCGGAATGAATATCTGAGGCTTTGAGATTGTGGAGATGGCGGAATTTCGCGCAATGCTGTGAGTATTTTATGTCTTTCCATTGATTGACTGGCTATTTTAACAGCGGCTAAAACCAAAAGTATTTTTATTCTTGTTAGAAATTCGAATATGCATGGTGACTTGTACTATGGAGTTCTCTTTGTCCTCCGTGACAAATTCGTTGTTAGGAGGCTATTGAAGACATTCAGAAAGAATCGAAACTGCAGTCTTGCCCCAGAATCTATTCATTTGGCAGCAGTTTCACACACAGCTGATGGCTGTGTGAATAATATCAAATCCGCGAGTTATTTAACGGAGAATCTTCCCTTGACATGCAAACGCATTCCAAAGAGGCAGCGACCTTCTAATACACGAACTATTTTCCATGTCATACACTTAAAGGCGTGAATACGGGATT